TTCCTGGCCTCAAACTTGAGGTCCTCTTCTCTCTGAGTGTTGGGACTGTACAGATGCCCATGACCACAATGACTACTGGGAAGCCTTTTTAAAAAGGTTAATTCTAGTAGGAAGACTGGAAAATGAATAATGTGAAAGTCACCAGACAATGGCAAGAGAGCCACGGCTACTTATGTGGAGGGAAAAGGATGGAGCAGGATGGGTAGGAAGAAGAATCTGAAGGCAAGGGAAGAATTTGGGTAGGAAAATGTCTCTGCCACCAAGAGGACAGATGGGATGAAGGGAGCTATACATCAGAGACAGAAGGAGCTAATGCTTCGAGACTGCTGCCCCTTCTCCCTGGGAGACCTTAGAGCAAACAAGTTGATAAACCCATGAAATGATTTTGAGAAGACTGGGAAAGACAGACACCTGGAAGAGGAACAAGTACAACAGCAGGATAACAACAGACCTGGTGTCATTTAAGTGTTATTCATCTGTGAGAATGAAACAAGAGAAATCAAGTTTGCAAGGACTGAGGATGGCAGGATAAGCAATGGCAGGCTGTAGATTCTCTAACAGGAAAACCTTGGTGTAGTCTGAACTAAGAACAAAGGGTCTGGCCATTTTTTCTTTAAACACATTGGCTGAGATATGAAGTTTGCTAAAATCTCACAAATTCACCATGGCTTAGATCACATGGTTAGGAAATCTAAAGAAACATTCTTAAAATGTGCAACTCCATCAAAGGAAACAATTAGTGGAGGAAGATAAAGTCTACAAAAAGGGAAAATTCTTTGCTAGCCATATTTATGGAAGACAAAATCTAGAATATACAAATTACAAATATACAAAAATTTAGCATACAAAAAGCTATATAGGAACTCATAACAACCCAGTCAATAAGTAGGCTAAAGAAATAAAATCTTCTCATTCTTGTTCCAGCCATCTCACTTCCTATCTGTCTGTTATCTAGTGGTAAGCTCTGTCCTCTGATCTTCAGACATACTTTATTTGTACAAACAATGTATCACCACAGAAAACTACACTGAGAAGACTTACTTTCAGGGATCATTCCAGAGAAATTTCTATGACTGTATAGAAGACCCAAGTGCAATAAGCAGGTTGTGGTGGCTATTCTTGGTTGTCAACTTGACTACATTGGAAATGAACTACAATGCAGAAATGTAGGGCACAACTGTGAGAGATTCTTTTTGTTTGGGTGAATACACTTCTAGCCTGGATTTTTGAAGTAGAAAGATACACACCTTTGATCCAGATCTTGAGGTGAAGACACAACTTTAATCTGGGCCACTCCGTGTGGTGGAAGCCTATATAGACATGGAAGAAGGAAGCCGTTGCTCTTTGCCTATTTGCTCTCATCTTGCTAGCACATCCATTCCTTCACTGGCACTGGTGCCTACTTCTTGGGATCCCAGCATATACTGAAGACCAGCTGAGACATCAGGCTTGTGGACTGAGCAACTACTGGATTCTTGAACTTTTCATTCACAGCCAGTCATTGTTGGATTAGCTGAACTATGACCTGTAAGTCATTCCAATAAATCCCATATATATTATATAATATATATTATATGCATAATATATATAAACGTGTCATATTAATGTGTTGACTATATATTCATTCTTTGAGTTTTGTTAATCTATAGAACCCTGACTAATACAGAGGTGTACTTCACTGAGAGAGTGACCTCACTAGATAAGGACAGGCACAACCTGTGTCTGAAGGATGAGAAATGTGGAAAGACAATGACCTCTGGGACAATGTCGAACATGAAGGCAAGCCCTATAGCAACTATTCCTATTCCTCAGGTATGTTCACACCCAAATTGGGCACAGTGGAGCTGAAAGCCACACTTTCAAGTAGCCCCAGGTTGTGGAAACCCTCCCTATTTGCCTAGGCACATGCTATGCCTTACTGCTAGACATCAGGGGCTCTTAGTAACCCTTCATGCCCTTAATAAACCTGAATTTCTGGGGAAAAATAAACTATATTGAGATATCATTTTACCTCAGTCTGAATGGCAAGACTAGTTAAAAACAAAAACAAACAAAAAAAAAGACAAAAAACAAAATCAGGGTTCACACCTTTAGTTTCAACAAGCCTGAGGTGGAACACAAGGAGACGTCTGTAAGTCTGAAGTACTATACAAGGTCAGTCTGAAGTACTATACAAGACCATCTTTAAAAAAAAGTAAGAAAAGAAAAAAGAAATGCTGGCAGGGATGAAGGATGTGGACAAAAAGAACTCTTATATACTGTTGGTGGTAATGTCAACTATGGAAGTTAGTTTGGAGGTTCTTCAAAAAGTTTAAATTTAAATTAGGTCTTCCAAATGACCCAACTACCTGAAGGAATGAATATGAATATATATCTGGGGGAATAAAGGAAACTAATGGGAGAGGGAAGAGATAGGAAGGTGAATGGGTACAGGAAGGTAATATACTCAATGTACCTTGTATACTTGCATTAATATGTCCTTATGAAATTCAGTACCATGTAAAATGTAAAATGAACACAGAACAATTAAAATACAGTTTAAAATCCATATATATTCTAAAACATAATCCACTTAAGAGTCATGAACATTTTCATTATGTAGTTTTTATTTTAGATGAACATTATTGTAAAAAAAAAGTTCACCTGGAATAAAATCCATTTTTTAAAAAAACACAGCATCAGTATCAGTACAGTTAATGAACTGGCTTTAACAGACCAACCACATGACAGGTCTATATTATCCACAGGAGCTTTCCACAGTGAGCCACTGGAGCAAAATAAAATATGTTTAAGCACACAAATAGAAGCCTCTGGAAAAATTCCATAGTTCCCATGGGGATATGATTTTAATCAGACAATTCATGGCATTTTGCATTTAGGGAATTGCAGCATCAGTTATGAATAGTCAAGACAAATCCATCTGTAAGGCCATTGGAATGAACAATCATAAGTTCACTTTTTTAAAAAAAAGATACAAAAATGAAATACAAAATTCTGTTAGTTCCTGGCATATGGCACATATTTCAAGATACAAAGTTAAAAATCTGGAAAATTCTTAAAACAAATGCTTGCTGATTTTCATTTCTGTACTCATTTAGTTTATTTTTAATGAACATGTCATTCATAAATTTTATTAGTATATCCTGACCTATGTCCTTCTGAATCAAGGGATTTCATTTTCAGTCAGTTCTGAATGTATTGAGAAAGCTAAAGGAAGTTCTCTTTGTTTAGTTTATTTTTTTTACGTCTAAAAAATTGAATAGAAGAAATTTTGAGATCAGTAAACCAACATAATGAAATGTGGTTTTAAAATTCTAGGCTTAGAATCTAATCTTTAAAGATTAAGAACTATATTTATAAAAGCATCTAAGTCACAAGCTTGAAAAGAAAGTCTTCTTAATTTGTGTTTTACTGTTCATAGGAAGAACTTTGAGCCCTAATAGAAATTCTCAGCATTTGGAGCCTGTAAAATGCTAGTAGTTTCTTACTCATACAATCCATGTATATTGCACAACTAAATCCATTAATGGACAGGGCAGTAACACTTTTTGTATGCTACTGGATATTTACATGCATGCTTTATTCAAAACTAAGGTACCACATTTCTTTTTTCCAAGGATGCCTTCAGTTCAAAACAAGATAAAACAAAACATACTGTCTAAATTTCATTGAATGCTTAGAGGCTGGCTCACTGTTTTTCTACCATGTATTAGAATATTAGTTAGCTAAATGAGGTATAATTTAAAAAAAAAGTCTTTCAAAGTAAAGAGAAATTCAGGAAATTTATAACAAAGACTGCATAAAATGTCCACATGAACAGTAAGAAGCCCTGCAGCACCTGACTGATGCACAGGGAGACAACTCCCATCATCTGGAGTAAAAGAGGCTAGAATAGGTTCCCAGTGAAACATTCCACAACTGATTCACATGCTAGTTACAGCACACTTCACTGTCTGATACCTCCAGACTCAATTTCAAAATTTTGAGTCCAACTGTTGTCAAAAATTAGCACATTAATAATAAGGTGCAGCCACTGAACCACTAATACTGCTGCAAAAATCTCTATGTACCCTATCTTATCTGTGAGACCACAACCATGTTCATACACACACACACACACACACACACACACACACACACACACACACACACACACACCCTAGATTTCTTCAGTTTCAGCAGGGAACAGACAATTATCTGTCACTAAATTCAACTACAAATAGAAAAAATAATGCACCATATATACATTATTAAGCAAAGTAGACTATTTGTTGGGTTATTTTTGCCATGCAGAAAGTGAATTTCCTATGATCTGAGCTCAAATTATATACAATTTAGCAAAGCTAAATGTAAGAAAATAGCAAGGACAATTTATTTCTATATAACAGAGAATATAATCCCAGTTTGCTGCTACTTCAAAGAGCACTTTTAGACTCACCTAAACATTTACAGGCTCATTCAAAGAGAAGTTCATGGAGACTAGTTATTAACCCACAAAAGACACAAGAAGAGTGAGGAAATAAAAAAGAAAAGAAAGCATTCTGGGGAGGGAGGGAGGGAGGGAGGGAAGGAGAGAGAGAGAGAGAGAGAGGGAGGGAGGGAGGGAGAGAGAGAGAGAGGGAGGGAGGGAGGGAGGGAGGGAGGGAGGGAGGGAGGGAGGGAGGGAGGGAGGGAGGGAGGGAGGGAGGGAGGGAGGGAGGGAGGGAGGGAGGGGGAGGGAGGGAGGGAGGGAGGGAGGGAGAGAGAGAGAGAGAGAGAGAGAGAGAGAGAGAGAGAGAGAAGATGCTGACCACAGAACATGTCAGTTTTGGTTTGCAGACAACCCCTGAGATAGAAACCAAAGTGTTAAAACACCAAACAGTCAGAGGTAAATACTAACAATTACATTCGTATATGGTGTCAAAGCTCGTGCTTTTTGCAAAGTACTTTGTTACCATTGTAACTGCTTGAACTTTTTTTTTTCACAAAAGTAGTGATAAGACATCTCTAAGATAATACCGTTTCTTTTCAAAAATGTATTTAATTTGAAGATGTTAAACTTACAATCAATTCTCATTGAGACAACTACTTATACCTGGACAGTAATGTGTGACTTTAAGCTGGTAGGTAATTAGAGAAAAGGAAAAAAAAAAGGCTAAAGTTTGTCAACAGTACAGTCAGTGTATCCACCAAAAATAATTCTGGTATACTTGCAGCCACTGGAATGCTTTTGAGTTTTCCCACAGACAGGAAGCCCTGCTGGTCCACGCACAGAAGCAGAATCCCCTATGTAACCAACTATCTATTTTCATGTTCAGTTCTTAATGTATAGCACAAGAGCAGAAGGAGTAATTGCTACCAGTTCATTTCCCTTGTCAAGATTTCAGTGTTAGACACTGAAGACCAGAATAACAGCAGTGACATTGTGATCTGATTTGGCACATAAGTTAACACTAAATACTTCCCACTCACCCACCCCTAGTGTGATGGTTTGTTCACAAAAAGAAATATCAGAACCAGCGTTTGGTGAGAAAAGCAGCAAAGCTTTTGGTTGGCTTTGGCCTGTGTAGCCATACCACTTCTCTAACTACAAGCCTAAACGCAAAGGACTAGGTCCTATACATTCAGCAATGGCTGTTTGAGAGCCAAAACCTGGATCACATGTGCTCTAATAAAAAGACAAGATTTCTGGAGGATATTCTAGGTCTAATCACTTTTATGTATTTTTTTAATTCTAAATAGAACCAAAACTCATTATTTTTAGCATTATTAACAGCTTATACTCACATGTTTAATTTCTCTCCATATAGGTATGTTTTCTGAAAAATGAAATCTAAATGTAACCTTTGTTAACTCTCTCACAGACAGTATTATGGTTAAGAATTGGGTAATACAGGATAATGGGTGAAACTAAGAAAGAATATATTACATATTCTGGTGTAACAAGACCACAGTTGGATATGAAAATAAATCCCCAACGACCATTTCTCGCTTATGTGAAATCTCAGCTCATAAAGTTCACAGACAGACACAGCAGAGCTTGCATATATTATTGGTTTTAGATAAGTAAATAATGACAAGGTGGCAGGCAGGAAAAGGAACAGCAACTATGACCCTCAGAAACAATGAGACTGGAGTGGCTTTCTACATGCTGTTTCCAGAGAGAAGGCAGTGGCAGCCTACTTAAAAAGGCTACAGCTACTAAGGGATAAGCAGAGCTGATAACCACCTGAAAAGATGAAGATGAGGTGGCCTCTGGTGAACACATGGGCAATTTTATGAATTTTAAAAGTTTACCAGACTTTAATGATTTTTAAGAACACTGCAAAATCAAAGCCCTTCGGTAAATGCTACCAAAAAAACTTTTGGCCATATGACCCAGGCCAACCACCCTTTAACTTTAGATGAACCTCTGTTTAATGTTCTGTTGTCTTTAAACATCCCCAAATATATTAGTCTAGAACTTCATGCCACTAAAGTGCTGTTAGGAGTCTAAGATTATGCTGTACCAGAGAAAGGCTGACACTTGTGTGCAAAGAAAGATAGCAGCTTCCCAGGACAGGCAGTAAAACAAGGAACAACCAGTTAGGTCCTGCGTGTCTCCACATCACTGCTTCCATATTTGAAGAAAGGAGCCTGCTCTTTTGTTAGGCCATGAGGCTGGAATCCACTTGGCATTCTGTGTTGAGAGGTCTACAGTTCCATGGTGCTCTCCGCAGCAGCTGGGCGAGGTGACTCTGAGGCTGGGTAACCTGTGCTTTCTGAGAAGCAGGGAAGGGCCCTCTAGGTATACTGCAGTCTCTCAGAAAAGAACAGTTCATCAAAGCAATGAACAACGGAAGAAACTGGTCTTCTTGGACCGGTTTTCTGTTATTTTCACTGGCCCGCCTGCTCCTGATGAATTGCTGTCATTCTGAAAAACAGGATATGAAGTTGCTAAGGAAACCAAAATTCCATGGTTTGACCCCAATTACCTACAAAGTAAAAGCACACCTGGTGTGGAGAATGCACTCTAGTACACTCTCACCCATGCTCACTGCAAGGCTCTAGCACAGAAAGAGTTAAGTCTCAGCACCAACATCGTCTTCTTTGCAAGTGGTGGATTAAAAAGAATATTCTTAGGCTAGATAGCACTTCTGTTTTAACCATGTGTTAGGTAGGATGCTCCTATATCTAGTTTAAAGCAATTTCAGCCAAGGCCTGTAGGGTGTTAAGGATAATGACAGAAACAAGGCTAAGGCAGTAGACAATAAGGCTAGAGGCAAGAAGAATTAGTAACAGAAGGGAGATAGTTTTCATGAGGACCCACATTAAAATGAACTTTAGGGTGTCCTAAAGATTCATCACTGACAGTTCAAATTGAAGACAACTTCAGCAACACCAAGATCATCATTATATAGATATAAATATGTATTATATGAAAATTGAACTAGATAATTTTATGAAAAAAGCAATTTCTGCTATTACTATTTTCATTATTCTGATAAAAATTCAATTAACTACCACTTAAGGAGTCAGAAGAAAGAGCTGAGACAGCTGTAATGCAAAACAACCGTAAAGCAATAGAAATTAGAAACATGATACAATCATATAATAGCATCAGGAACAAATGAGTGTAATGTGAGTATATTATAATCATGCTGTCCATTCTGTTGAGTGTCAAACTAAAAGGCTGTAGCATGGAAATAAAAACGAAAGTGATACAAACCATTTTTCTGTTAAGTTTTGTCATTATATCCCGTGCAAGTGTAAAAAATGCCTAAAGGTAAAACAAACAAAATTACTGTTAAATAGTTATATTTCAAAACAGAAATATAGAATTTTTATTATTTATTTGTGACTACACCACTTCAGAGTTTCTAATTGTAAAAAATAATATAATTAAAATCTTAGCATAAAACAAAAATAGAAATTCTTTTCCCCAGTATATAAGACTTTAGACTCACAAAAATAGGATGATGGAATATTTTCTTTAAATCTTGCTAAATGTTATTAGCTGTAGTTTTCATTTGATAACTGTTTTGTTATATATTTTACTATGTTAAAGTTAAAGCCCTTCTTAAATAAAGACAGAAAAGAGGAGATGATGGGAGATGTCATTCTGTAAATATGTTTCGCTTATTGGTTAATGAATAAAGCACTGTTGACCTGTAGGAAAGCAAGGTAGGTGGGACTAGGAGAGGTGGAGGATTCTGGGAAACATAGTTGAGTTGAGACGTGATCTCAGGAAGAGAGGACGTGAGTTTGGCTTTCATGGTAAGATAAGACCATGTAGAAATGCATATATTAGTGATTATGGGTTAAGAATTAAGACAGAGCTAGCCAATAAGAAATGCTAGTAACTGGCCAACAGTTTCATAATTAAAAAAAAAAATCTTAGCATGAGCTGGGTAGTGGTGGTGCACATCTTTAATCCCAGCACTTGGGAGGCAGAGGCAAGCAGATCTCTGTGAATTCGAGGCCAGCCTGGTCTACAAAGTGAGTTCCAGGACAGCCAGAGCTACACAAAGAAACCCTGTCATGAAAAACAAAAACAAAAATTCAATTACATCATATTTTCCAATGTTGTCACATTGTCATTCATTCATCAGATATTTTATGCATGTAATGCCTATCACAAGTTCCTAATATGGCAACACAGTTATGAGTGGCTTCCTCAATACACTAAGAACAGGAGACAGGCTCTGTTTAAACCATCCTAATCCCCTAGGGAAAGGCTTCATCCTCTGGTCCAGATGATACTTGCCTTAGGGTTACCATCATTGTTATGAAACACTATGACCAAACCAACTTGGGGAGGAAAGGGTTATTTGGATCATTAAGCTTCTACATCACAGTTCATCATCAAAAATGTCAGGATAGGCATGTAAGCACAGCAGGAACCAGGAGATAGGACTTCAAGCAGAGGCCATGGAAGGTGCTGCTTACTGGCTTGGTTTACAAGGCTTGCACAACCTGCTTTCTTGTAAAACCCCAAACCACCAACCCAGGGATGACACCATTTACCATGAGCTCAGCTCTCCTCTATCAATCACTAAGAATTGAGAAAATGCCCTGCAGGCTTGCCTACAACCTGATCTTATGGAGGTGTTTTCTTAATTGAGGTCCCTTCCTCTCAGATGACTTTACACAGGCCTGTGGAAATCAGTTTAAAAGGAAACCCGAGAAACCCACTTCTCACACTGGCTCTTTAAAAAAATCTGTCAGCACTTTTGTTTCCACAGTGGTTTGAAATTAATTCTGTGGCCAAGATTGAGAAGTACCCCACAGGAGCTGGCATAAAACCCCCTCCCCCACTTTAGCAGAAGGATTCCTTTCATAGAAGGAAGCTTGCTATTCTTTTTTTTTCTTTTTCTTTTTCTTTTTTTTTTTTTTGGTTTTGTTTTTATCCATGCTTATGAAAATAAATCATTGGCAATTTCTTGTTTCTCAACAAAAGACTCAGTAGCTAACTTGAGAAATGAGTGCTGGTTATTATGAAGAATGAAAAGTTCTGACAAGTATCCATTGACTATTAAGGCCATTTAAGTTTTAGCCACTGTATAAGGAAGGAGTGAAGAATCTAAGACACTAAAGATTAGAGCTGCAAGGTTATTCAGCATAGGCACTAACTATTACACAGCAGTTAAACAGATCATCTAGAGTTTTCTAGAGCAGGTTTTGTTCACAAAGGGTATAAATACTGATGATATTTTCTGTTCATTTTTTAAAACTGATCATAAAATTACAATTTTTATTCTTTAAAGACCTTAGATATACTTTTTTAAATTGTTTATTATTTTATTTTCTTATTGTGTTTGTGTGTATGTGTATGTTTGCCACAGGGCAAGTGCAGTAGTCAGAGGACATGGATCTCAGAGCTCAAACTCAGGTCCCCTGCCTGGCAAACTCCTTCACTCACTGAACTGTCTTGCCAACCTCCTCAGATAATCTTGTCTTAATGGCTAACTTAATGGAAATGTATTAAAACTAACCTATGAAAAACACTGTCTTATATCTACGAAATGCCATAGCATTATAGTGTCATGCTTAATCTACTTTCAATGTGTACACAAAGGGAATCCATTCAAGAGACAATGGTTTAATTCAAGTGATTCAACTTGTCTGCTACAGGCTAATACAGTGTGATGACAAATAAGCAGAGGACACCGAGTCTGTGATTGCTAACTTCCTAAACTAACAGCTGCACTGAACTTAAACTGAACTTGTATCTCCTCTCTTCCAGGAATCTTAATTGAGCTGCATGCTAGAAATCCTCGAGCAGAGTCTATGTAAAAGCCCAAGGCATAGAAGTGCACGGGAGGTTTTCACTACGCTGAGCTGCTATGTAGCAAGTAACCATACATTTCTTACCTCCTCTACATTTGTACTGGATTTTGCACTCGTCTCCAAAAATTTAATTCCATAGTCAATTGCTAACTGAAAGATAAACAGAAAATCAAATTCAGTGAAAGTGCCCTGGACATACAAAGCACTCAGTAGATTGTACATTCTTCAAAGCCCCCAAGAGTCTATGCCAGAACTCCTATGGCTTTCAATTTTTGTTTGTTTTCTTGTATTGTGCTTTAACTTTACAATTTAACTTAGTTTAAAGATGACACAGCTTCTACTCAAAATGTCATGTTAGAAGTTTGTTCTGTTGTATTTGTGGGTCTCTAATAAACACACAAGAAAAACTATGAGATGGAGTCTCAGCCTTACCACCTGCCTGGGGTCATTTACTCCTTCAAGAATACAACTCTCCAAGTGTAACTAGCCTGACTTTCCCCTCTGAATGAACTACTTTGTGAAATAGAATGGCAAATTTGAACTCTTTTCACAGATCCATCTATTTTCAGGGTCCTAACCCACATAACACTACTCAAATTAAGTGAGGGTTTCCAAGGGCAAATTGGTAGTCAGACTGAAAAACAAAATGTATTTGCACCTATCACCTGAGAAAGTCTCTCAAGACTTGAGAAAATACCGTAAGTAAATGTGCACAAAAAATACCCATGGGCTGTACATCCAGGCACCTGTAAATGTCACCTCTATAGCCTGGCAGTCACCAGAAGCTTACTGCTCATGAGCTGAAGCTAAAGCTGTATGTACTAAACTCTTAAGAAAAACAAGCTGGGAAGTGATGATGGTTAAAATTTCACCTACCCTAGTATAGTTTTTCACAAACTGAGTTATTGTAACTTCAGAGCTGGGCTTTTCATACAAATCTGAAAGAGCCTGAACAAGAGCTGCTGGATCTTAAGAAAGGCCAGTCTGTATCTCCCAGCATTCTCTAGGGCTGAGTCATGACTGGATGGTATAAATGGGGTTGGATTTGAATACTAATTCCCACTATCCAAGTACAGACTACATCACACTGTTGCTTGATAGTTCTTAAAGGACTAAAACATTTTTAAAATGTAAATAAATACAAACAGGAGTAGATTCCATCCTTTATTCATCTGGTTCAAACTTACCTTCTCCCCTCTTTCTTTTGACACTTGTCTTTTGTCATTCATATCACATTTGTTACCCAGGATCATTCTTTCAACATCTGAAGAGGCATGCTGCAGGAGGAAAATAGTGTATTATAAAAATAGCCTGAGAAGAACCACAGAGCTTCTATGGGAAAACCCCAACCTGTTCAGCTTGTTCAGCAATAAGATGATCTTTCATTCAATACAAGCCTAATTCAGAGAAATGTTTAAAGATAGAAGGGGGAATTACTTCAGTTTAAAGTCTTCACAGAGCCTATGCAAACATTTTCTCTTAACTCATATGTAACAGCCAAACCTTCAAACAATTACTCTAGTCAAAAACATAATAAGCCTCCATGTGTGATTTATTTGGGAGCTGGGTAGTGGACCTTTCAAAAAACCAAGAGTGTGTGTGTGTGGGGGTGTGAGGAAACACACACACAACATGCTATGCTAATAAAGGTACTGCCATGTAGTAGATCGTAAATAAGTAATATGTGTTAACTTAAAATGTAAGAGCTAGTAAGTAATAAGCCTGAGACACTTGGCTGAGTCTCAGTCAGTTATTTCAGAAGCGGCTGCTGGGTATTTGGGAACAGACAATTGGGACAGGAAAACTCTGCCTACAGAAAGTAACCTAGGTTCTGAACTATTTAAAAAGACAAACTATGTGGGTTCATTCTAGTTGGTCTCTTTCTGAAATGTCACAGAGGTTTTAAAGAAAACAGTACCAACTGTCCTGAAACTAACCAAATTTCAAGTATCTACAGAGGAAAAAATGTTAGAAAGGCAAAAAAGTTGCAGAAGTATATTTGTGTTAGTGACACACAGCTGAGAATCAGGTATCTTAGCTGTGGTTCTACCCTCAAGGCTCTATGAATACTGGCAAGTTGCTTCTTTCTCACCTGTTTCCTTAGGCATAAAATGCTGTATCTAAGCTCTGACCTGTTACTATCTATATACAGCTGTTAACCTGGCACCATTGGGGATCTAATTTTTTTCCAGTGGGCAGGGTGGGCGTGTCCTGCCCATTCTGTTCCTCAGTAGCAGCCACTTGCAGGAGAAAGCAACAAGCCACCATATGTTTCTAGCAGGCTTCTGTCCAGCATTGCCACTCGCCTTCCAAATATACCTCTTCAATGTTTCTTATCCAATTCTTAATGTTGTCAAAGGATTTTTCATTGGTGATGTCATAGACCAGCATAATTCCCTATGGTAGGAAACAAAAGGTTTTATGTCATACTTCATATACTTAACAGCTCAAAATGCAGGACATGCCTACCTGCCTCTCTTCTGTCTTATTTTGGTCTTTAAAGAGGGATTCATAATAAACTTGAAAAATACAGAGGCAAAAACAAGTGAATGCTACTATTGTCTCACTGTCTAAATGAACTGTTATCATCTTCACTGTTAACATTAATGAATTAGTGATTGTGGTAAAGGTGAGCAGCTCTTTCTACCTGACCTCAGGTGATAAGGATCAGCCTCAACTGGAGCTTCAGGCCTGGTTAAGTTAGACAGGGACAGTGAATGCTCAGAGGAAGAGGGGCATTTCCAGGGCACACTTGCTTATTACAAACAGAAATGATTGTTCTTCTCATTCCTCTACTGAGACCGAGACCATACTGTTCTAAATACAGGCTTTCAATACAGGTTTACCTGTATTGAATACAGGCTTTCAACACAGGTTCACAATGTTATCATTTGTCCTAACATTACGAGAACATAATGCATCTATTACATGGGTTAGTTAAGGCATTGTCATCAAGTTTTTAAAGATTCCCCTGCCTGGTAAAAATCTAAAAGATTGAACTCCCAAATAATTCAAATAATATCGCTATGCTAATTGCCCAGACCACTGATCAGTACTATGAGAACTATATGAGCTGGTCATGGGTGCCCTTACAGAAAAGAGACTGGAAGAGGTTAACCATGAAAGCAGGAAGACAACTAAAGAGTGGGTCAGTAGCTCAAGGAAAAGCTAATTGAGGAGAATCTAGCACAAGAAGAGGAGGTCAGGCTCTGAAAATACTGAGTCATGGATCTCCAGGACCATTCTTCAGTACTGTGTATATTATGTGCTACACGCACTTAGTATCAGTCCATTCAACAATCTGGAGTGGGCTGGTAGTTCAGTGGTAGAGTGCTTGCCTAGCACGGGTAAGCACTGCAGGCTTGATGTCCAGCACTGTCAAGAGTAGATAGAGAGACAGAGATACTGATTCTATGGCTGACCATGCACATATTTGAAATCCTAACATTCAGGAGGCAGAGAAGAAAACTTCAGGCCAGCCTGGGATATGCAGTAAAACTTTATCTAAAATGCCCTCTCTCTCTCTCTCTCTCTCTCTCTCTCTCTCTCTCTCTCTCTCTCTCTCTCTCTCTCTCTCTCACACACACACACACACACACACACACAAACTAAAGAAAACCTTCAACTCCCAAGAATTTGATAAGTACCTACTATGTATCAAATACTCTACTTACACTAGGTACTCTGAGCAGTGATCAGGATAACCAAGGTCCCTTCTTTTCATGAATGGATAACAAAAATGGACCAATATACAATTAACTAGAATTCTATTAACTGCTACAAAGAAGCATGGGAGCTTTAAACTAAAACAACAGGAGCATAGTCTTATCTTGTGGAGTGGCCCAAGTGGAAAGAACTGTTTCTCTGATAAAATGAGTAAGACCAAGGCATGAAGACCAAATAGAGTGAACTTGGCAAAGGGCTGGGACCAATGAAGAGGGAAGTCCATGGTGCCAGACACAAAGCCGCAGCAACAACAAAAAATCAATAGCATTTTGTCACTGAAGGTCCAGGGTACACTCCACTGACTCAAAGAAAGCTTAGCAAGATGCACAAATTTATTGGGTTCAAGAAGGAAGACAAGGCAAAATGTCCTTTAGGGAATACTGTCTAGATACCAGCCATTAGGTATCTCCTATAGTCACCACACATTGTTGGAAGCAAAACAGAAGATTGTGAGTCCCTCCCAAATCTTCTGTTCTCCCTGTACTATCACATGGTGAAGGGCAATAAAACCCCAGCAGCCATGTAAACACCTGGGTGTTTCCCTCAAAGCCAGTCTCTAGGTTCTGGAGATCCCATGATTCAGTATTTTCAGCGCCTGACCTCCTCTACTCATGTACTGGATTATTAGATTCTCCTCAGTTATCCTCTTTTGGAGCTGCTAACCCACTCTTTAGTTGCCTTCCTGTTTTCACTCTGACTTCTTCTAGTCTCTCTCTTGGAAAGACATCCATGATCAACAACACTCAAATATCTGCAGTATTCTCCATTGTTCTCAGAATTAAACTCCACAGCAAAGCCCTTCACAGGCTAGCTTCCAACTTTGTTGGTAAATATAAATGTAAACATATAAAATTATATAAAATATATTAGACAAAAAAGCCAGGAAATAAAAAATATTAAGAGTTCTCTGGCCGGGTGGTAGTGGCACATGTCTTTAATCCCAGCACTTGGGAGGCAGAGACAGATCTCTGTGAGTTAAGGCCAGCCTGGTCTACAGAGCGGGTTCCAGGACAGCAGGGTTCCAGGACAGCTAGGGCTGTTATACAGAGAAACCCTGTTTCGAATAACAAACAAACAAACAAACAAAGCAAAAAGTCTCCTAGGGAGGTAAGATTTGGGATGATTTCTTGGAATTCTTAAAGCTTTTTTTTTTTTTTTAAATACTACTTAGATTCACTGTTAACAGCAAGGGAGAACTATTGTTTTTGCTTATTTGAAACAATCTCACTATATAGCCTTGGTTGACCAAGAACTTACTATATACGCCAGGCTAGTGTTGAACTCATAGAGAAGATCTGCCTGACTCTGCCTTCCTGAGTGCTCAGAGAAAAGGCAGGCATTTTTAAATGACAAGCAATACTCTCCTCTACCCCACTCCTCCTTGCCTCAGTGTACATTTCACTTCAGCTATACACTTTGTAAAAGATTTTTAAAACATAAAAGTGAAAATGTATACTTTTAAGATGAAAAAGTATTTAAAAGTTTTATGCTACCGACAGATCACCACAATTAAAAAAAAAAACAAAAAAACAAAAAACAAACAAACAAAAAAAGTAACAATAATTACTGATGCAGAGTACTTAGCTATCTACAGCTAAAACTAACCAGGTAACTACAATAGCACTATTATCCTTTGGGCTAAATGATGAAGCTATATCACTCATGTGCCCTGTCTATCTCAAATGTCCCTTCCTTTGGTCAGCACAGAAACTGAAGAGTGTGGTGTGAGGGGTAGAAGCTCTTAAGCCAGGTGCTTCTAGCTTAGACACTACCATGTATTTAACAGGGAGACCCTGGAAGACAGTATTTTAGTTTTCTTGGTCTCCAATGTGAGATTCTTCTGAGGATGTCCTGAGATGTTATTTGTAAACTACTTAACCCAGAATTCAGGACATAACTTGGCCTCAGCAAACAGTATTACTAACTTACCTCTTTGATTACAACAGCCAAAGCCATTACACTATTTCCTATGGTTATAAGGTAACTGATATTAATTTGGACCTGGTAGAAATATACATTAAGTATACCAGGTAAACTTTGTAAATCTAAGTTGCCTAAGAATTCAGAAGAAGTTGCTGGTCTATGAGAAATAACAATAATGTAGGATATGGCCTTTGTTCCCCTTACAGCTTAATTGTCCCAAGGTTTATTGTGAAGCCTATAAGGTTGCTGACATGTTTAAAACAAAACTAAGAAATCTATATAGTGGCATACTCCAGAAGCATGTTGCATGCCTGATCCATCCAACCAACCAAAGCTTGCCATGACCACCACCTGCTGGGTGGTACTCCATGCAAATACACCAGCCCTATAAACACCCTGAGAGATAACTTCAACAGAACAGCATTTTCTGGACAATCTTCCACTGATTCACACTGTCAGCAAGTATTTACTGAGCATCTACTGTGTCAAGAAGCAGCACTGTACACAGCAAAAAAAAAAAAAAAAAAAAAAAAAAAAAAGAGAGAGAGAGAGAGAGAGAGAAATAAAGCAAAATCCCTACCTTCAGAATGGAAAAGCCAGTACTATCCAGAACAGCAATAATCCGTAATTATATGAAATAATAGGAAGGAAGATGAGGCAGTAGAAACACGAGAAAGCCAGATGACCCTTGAATCTAAATTAAGTAATACATCTCACTGGCCTCTTTCTTTACACCATGAACTACAGCTACATATCCAAGTGAGACATCTCTACATAAGGTAGTGTTCCTGCCTTCTCAAGGGAAATGGTGAGACCACCTAGTCCCACAATGTAAAAAACTGACCAGCACAAACACCAGTGTGTCTAAGATGGTTCTAATCAAGTTACCTGTGAACTATACAAAACGTTCCCTGTTAAAATGTTTCTTTTTATCTTCTCTGGAAGAAACAAACATCAACAAATGTATCCCTGGCACACAAAGACAGTCCCTTCCCTCTGATTCCAATCTAAGCAAAATAGAAGAGCAGCAATCACTCTCTATGTGATAATAAAAACTCTTTACAATCTTAAAGGTTCAGCTAGTTTTTGTTTTGTTTTGGTCAACTTGACACATGCTAGAGTTATCTGAGAGAATTTTAATTGAGAAAATTTTAATTTTCATTTTAATTGAGAAAATGTTTCCATATGATCAGCCTATGGGGAAAGCCGATGGAGTAGTTTCTTATTGATGACTGATATGGGAAGTTCAATCCACTGGGTGGTCCTGAGCTGAATAAGAAAGCAAACTGAGTAAGCCATAAGGAACAAGCCAGTAACCAGCACTTCTCCATGGCCTCAGCATCAGTTCCTGCCTTTAGGTTCCTGCCTTGAATTTCTGCTCCAGCTTTCCCAGATGATAGAACTACAAGTTTAAGATGAAGTAAACCCCTTTTTCCAAGGTGATTTTGGTCACAGTGTTTTTATCATAACAACAGAAACCCTAACTAAGACAATATCACAGGGTCAAGTGTGGAGAACACATTAAATGGCTAGTGGTATGCTACAGCATTAAAAGGAACCTTCAATCTTATGGTAGAGATGAGTTATACTCAAATAATGGTGGACAAAGGGAAATAGAGAAAGAAGGGGTAACAGTATTGTAGTGGAAGGACCTGGGGATCCAGATCACCCCTTCTGTTCTGTTACCTTCTGTCATTCCCAGTAGGACAGGAATCTCAATAGCTATGCCCTACAACCTACCAGGTGGGCTCCATGAGTTTAATGGCTTAACTTTCAAAGACTATCTGAACATACCACAAAAATCCAAAGCTCAAACTTGGGCTTGGCTTATGTCTACTTAATTTATTTGATTTTTGGTGCTAGAGAGTTATCATCGGGCATGTTAAACCCATGTTCTACCAGCAAGCTACATCCCCAGACTCCTGCCTAAAAGCTAGTGATGAAGCTCTATCCTGGGCCTGACATCCCAGACACAGATAGCCCACAGATCTATTATTCCAAGTGCCTATCGACCATTGTATTACCAACACCACACAGGACCTGCCCAGAGTCAACAGGCATTATAAGTACATTAAAGAGAGAAGCATGTGAAGGCTGAAAACAACCAGGTGATGGAGCTATGACAATAAGGACATGACCAGGATTAGCCAAGAAGGTCCTGGCAGCCAAGGTCTTCTAGAGTTATGAATCATTCAGCCACTTCCTAGCCAGGCAAGAAGTCATAAGCAAGGCCAGATTGCAAGGGTGGAGAGAGATAAAGGGTGCTATGCTACAGAGCTGAGGGATAAAAGAGTAAAACAAAGGAACTCTTAGTCACAGGGTTTGTGGGTTACTAAGACTGCCATCAAGTATTAATAAAAGGAAAAATAACAAAACTGTAATAATACCTCAGCAGAATGTAGAGGAGTTCTAGAAAATCTAAGAGCTAATGGTTCTTAGACTAATAACAAAACATAGAGCCTAAAAATCAAATACAATTTTTAAAACCCTTAAAATCTCTTGTTTTCAGATTTAAAATTTTATTTTCCTTCACTTTACTATGTAGGGAGGAGGGGAAGCCCATAGTGAATGGAGTCCTGACTGAATGGTGAATATTGATAAGGACTCAATATCTTGGACACATGGGAATTAGCAAAGGCTACCCTGGGCCAGGCTCAAAGAACTGGCAAAGCCTTCCTCTGGTCTGTGTGTGAATGTTGACAGAGTACAAGAAGCATCTATGGAGGCTGCAGTTTCTTCCTCCTGGATGTCTAGTGCCTGAACTGCTCCCCAAATGAGACTTTCTATGGAGACAAACTAGCCCCTCTTCCTCTTCTGTATGCCATCAACACTCTGAGATGTTGTGTGGACATGCTGCACCATCAAAGAACACACAGGCCACTAGATACCAGCTTTTCTGTTTGTGTGTCTATGTATCTGTCCTTTCCTCATTCCCTCATTTGCTCCAGTCAGGTTTCCAGGATCAAGCTGGTCTTGCCACAGGCAGTAGTTCTAGACTCTAGCTAACTACATATAGGCAACAAATACCCCTATTTTATTTTCACTTGAAGGGTTAGAAACCCAGAAACACACTCACCATGGCTCCTCTATAGTATGCTGTCGTAATTGTTCGGAATCTTTCCTGGCCTGCTGTGTCCCTAAAATTTGAAACAAAGAAAGGAACGAGTGATTTTAAAAGTTACCAGCAACACAGGGGAGGACCCCAGGTTATAGGATAAAATCTGATCTGCTGTCAGTCAGTGCAGTATGGCAAGGAAAAGAGCAATGAGCACACAGACAGAACATTGTGCCTGCAGAGCTGGAGGCAGCGGTGGCCACAGGCATCTGTCAGAACTTACAATGACTTGGGTGAAAAACCAGGACTTGGTAAAAGCAGCAACAGGAAAATAAATGCGCAGGTCCTGCTAGGAACTGGCATGTGGGAGGAAACAGAGAATAGTTCTAAATTCTTGGGCTCCCAGAGGCAGTGACAGTCCTTTCTCTAAGTGCTATATGATTAAGGCATTTGCTTTCTTGACTGTATGATGTGTAATTTCTGTACAAAGCAAACTGCTGAACCGGACTTACTACTGTGTACATTGTGCTCAGCAGAGCAGAACAAAACATGTCTCTTCCAGGGCTCTTTAAGAGTAGAGCCTGCAGTTAATTACACATGGACCAGGAGTCCAGCATCATTCTCCAAGTTCCCAAAGACTAAATATGAACATCTCAAAGTGACACAATCTTTCACCTAGTCTTCCTTTTGAGCTGATCGCATACCACTAAAATATATATTACAGGGTGGGAGTGTAGCTTAACAGGGTCCCAGGTTCAATCTCTTGCAGAAAATCAGGGCTGTGTGAGGGGAATACACAAGACACACATATACATTCTCTCTCTCTCTCTCTCTCTCCAAGAAATATGAACATTTCTAATTACATTTATAGTCTAAATCCTACAAAAAAAAAAGCCAAATTTTCTTGATATTTGGGGGGAAAATCACTATTTTTAAATTTGCCATTTATAGCCAGAACTAGTTGTTGCTTCCCGTGATACTAAAACAATCTAATTTATACAATTTAATTGCAAAGAAAAGAGAGAAGTATTTGTGAAACTATATTGAAAATCTAATACACACAAAACCCTACTAAGGGATGAAGGTTCAAAAGAAATAGTCAATTAAAGCAGTAAATATCTTAATATTTATATCTACTTTACAAAATACTTCCATAAAGTGCTCATGTGATGCCCACCACAGCCCAGCATGAGATGGGGTGATACTATCATCTTTACTTTGCAAAAGATACATTGGGCTTAGGAGCGCTATGGTCCCATCTCTGCCACTCAACAGCTCAGACTTGAAGGAGACTCAAGCATTGTAGGTCTCAGCTGCTGAGCAACCCTATATCTTGTAACTCTCTTCCTCACCAGCATTAGAGATATGAGGAACTTATTCTGTGCTTAGTAAACAAGGAGGAACACAGAAGCCTAGTACCTTTGAGTGGATTAATCGCATCTCCTTGACTCAAATACACTAGTGATTTGGAACTAGTGTGAGCACATGCACACGCCCCCACACACACACAATTTTTAAGGGTAAAAGTGTTTCTCCAAGTTCTGTGATGGAACAAGAGGTATATGTGTGTTGAAGTAATAGGTGTGAGTGGGATCTGCAGTATGTGGGATTGTGCCCTCAAACTATGATATCTAAGGCTATCTCTAGGTGCCAGAATTGAATTAAGTTAAATAACACCCATGTGGTATCCTTTGGAGAACTGCTTGGGGGTGTGTGTGGAAGTGTCTTGTCAGTGAACTTATAACAGTGGCCACACCCCTTTGGGTGTGGCCTCAAGCAGATGGAAGCAGAAAGAGAGGAGCTTGAGGTGTGGCTTTCCTGTGCATGCTCTTTCTGGTGGGTCAGCGGATCTGGTAGGAAGCACAGGGAAATGCTCCTGCAGTTCTTTGTAATTTTCTGTGTAATTGTTCCCCAGTAAACACCCACTTATCATTTATCTTGGATTTAGTGATATCATTACATCATTGCCTTCAATTAATGTCCCACATTGGGTGCCATTTTGTTATGAGCACTCTTTCCCTCCAGTCTGGTCTTACAGCCACCTTGCCTCAAATGAACACACAGATGCTATATTGATTATGAAACTGTTGGCAGCTGATTAGGGCTTCTTATTGGCTAGCCCTGTCTTAATTATTAACCCATTTCTATCAATCTATATAGTGCCATGAGGCTGTGTATTACTTGGTAATGCCCAGCATGGTATTAATCCTCCAGTAGCATCTGTGACTCTCTCTGGTGGGCTCACTCTGCCTACTTTTCCCAGAATCCTCTTCCTTTCCCAGGCTGCCTATCTTCCTGCCTGGCCATTCAGTGTTTTATTCATCAACCAATAAGAGAAACACATACAGAAGGACAACCCCATTGTGTGTGGAGGTGAACCCCATATACATTTGGTTTAAAAGAGTTTTAAAAATCTAATTTTTTTTTAAATTCACAGTAGCCTAAATCAAGACAAGGCATTACTAATTTTCTTCCCAGTTCCTCAGTTAAATAGACTCTACTTAATGAATTATAAACTATCAGGGCTATAGAGGACCTCTACTCTTATCAATCTAACTCATTTACAGGCAAGAAAAAGCAGGGCCTGAGAAGGCACAATGGTTTGAAGAAGTTTCCCAATGGCTACATCTTAATGGCTTAGTCTGTGGGGTGGTGGTGGTACTAGGGGGTGTGGAATCTTTAAGGGACTGGGCTTATTAGTAAGTCCTTAGGTCACCAGGAGCACTTTCTTCAAGTGGATTGTAGGGCCCAATGGTTCCACAATGGTTCCATCTAGTCTAGGACTAACTGGACCAAAGCAAACCATTTCTCTTTATAAATCCAGTGTTTCAATTATTCTGTTTTTTTGTTTGTTTGGTTGGTTGGTTTTGTTTTTTGTTTGTTTTTTGAGACAGAGTTTCTCCATGTAGCCCTGGCTGTCCTGAAACTCATTTTGTAGACCAGGCTGCCCTTGAACTTGAACTCACCCTCTTGAGTGCTGGACAGAAGGCAAGAAATTTCCCTGAAGACCTCAGTTTACAATACTGTGACTAGACATTCATGGTCTGTGACACTCAGCTATTTTGCTGCAACTACAATGCAGCAGTATTCTATGCTTTTGAGAATTTGTTTCTTCTTGTACAGAGCTTTGGAAGAATGGGCTCTGGACCTCTTCTGGATCAGTTTCTGCTTCTCACCTCCCACTCTGCCTAAGAAGATGTGCAGTGCTTATTCTCTTTCATTTTGACAAGAAAGGTCTGAGGAATGGCTCCATGTTTCTAACACCTTGATTCACATTTTAACCCCACTTTCAATTCCAAATTCAAATTGGAACTCCATGTTTCTTCATTTTTTAACTTACCATATCTGAAGTTTAATTTTCTTTCCATCGAGTTCTATCGTTCTGATTTTAAAATCAATTCCTGCCAGAAAACAAAGAAGGATATGCTAAGTTCCTCAGATTCAATCCAAGTCTTATTAGGGAGGGAACAAAGATTTGTATTGAGGGAAAAAAAAAAAAAAAAAAAAAAAAGCTCTCCAACGCACTGGAAAATGTGAGCACACAGAGGGTGTGAATGGCATGTTTCCTCTGAATACAGGCTGGAGAAAGGAATGCTAATCACTCTGTAAAGCATTCCCACCATGTGAAATGCAGGATTACAGGCCTCATTATTTGGGCACAAATGGCCCACATCCTGTAAAGTTACATAATTCAAAAGGACTGAGAACATATTTTCTCCTTCCTGAAATACATATACACAATACTCTCAGTCCTTGTGTCCCAAGCTTTCCCTACAGAAGGACATGGAGCCTCTTTAATATAGTTTTCTTCCCCTCTCTTCATTTGTTTAGTCAGAACCTGCAAACTTAAGAAAAAAGAAATTGAGACTCTGCACATTTGATGGCAAGGGAGGGAAGGCTTATTTTATTTTATACAATTAGTAGGGGCTTCGTGTACATCTTAATAAATGTCCCAAGGGTTACTGCCTAGAACTGGAATAGCCAGCATGGTTTTTTAGTTCTGGCCATATTTCAGAATTCCAGAGAGAACAAAGAACTCACTTAACTAGGCCTGCCCCCTCCCAAACTTCTGATACCCATTTAGCCAGTCACAAGCCAGTATCAATATGTAGCTGAGTATGACCCTGAATTGATCTTTCTGCTTCTCTTCCTTCTAAGAGGTGGAACTGCCCATATGCACACCATTCCACTGCACCAGCTTAGGAGGTGGTGCTGGGGAACTTAGGGCTTTCTACATGCTGGGCAAGCACTCTCCTAACTGAGCTATAGCTCCAACCCCAGGAACAAGGGCTTCTGTGGGGATCAGCTGGGCAGCAATCTGCTAAATCCCCCTCATATGCCACTCAGCTGTACTTAGTTTTTTCCCACTCTTTCACCTTTTGAAACACTGAACTCAGTCTCCAATACTCTTCAAAAACACATATAAACTGGGTGTCCTATAAATGGGCTTGAACAGTAACTGCAGCATTTGGAGTGTGGAGGGGTATCATGCAGCCCTGTGTAATATTTCTTTACAGGGAGGTGGAAAGCACCCAAAAAGATTGCTTCCCAGCTCCAGCTTTTGGTAATGCATATGCATAAACCAACTGGATTTCACCCTCTCCTCCGGGTGGTACTTTTCCACAAGGAGCCTTTGTAGCTTTCTCCATGTGGAGACAGAAATGCCACCCAAGCTGTCTATCAAGCTAGTCTCTTAATCATTCTTTTCTCTCACTAATGGCCCTGGACTGTGGGCAAATACAACCTGATCCCAGTGTTTCCAGGTTATGCAGCTCACATTTCTTCCTACAGTAGTTGGCATTGCAGGGGCAGCTGGTAATATACCCAAAACTTAGCACTGTAGCATAACTATTAGTGCTAGCATCCCACAACACGTGTGTCTGCCCTTGCTTGTTTCAAATGTAGTTTTTATTGTGACTTGATTTTTTAAAAATATCTTCAAATCTAGTGTAACAATGACCCTGTAGAAACGCTCTTTGGAACAGGCAAGGTGTCTAATGGGTAAAAGCTCTTTTCAACCTGAGTTCAATGCTGGATCCTACAGTGGAAGGAGACAACTAATTCATTCCTTTAAGCTGTCCTTTGACTTCCACATAAGGATGTGGCTGGTGTGTGTCCAGACCCCCCCACCACCAGACACACATAAACCTTGAATGCAAAATAAATTAAAACTAAAAAACGTTCTTCTAGCCTCCATCTCTTTTTGACCCCTACATCAAGAACAATGCCTAACACCCAAGGGCATTCAATAAATGTTTCTTGAAATTAACATTCAAAAAATTTTAAATTATTTTTAATTATGTGTATATATGTGTGTGGGTGTATGTGTGTGCAGAGGCCAGAGGTATTGAATCCACTGGAGCTGGAATTACAGGTGGTTGTGAATCACCTTATATGGATACAGGGACTTGAACCTGGTGGCACACACCTTTAATCCCAGCATTCAGGAGGCAGAGGCAGGTGAATCTCTGAGTTTAAGGCCATCCTGCTACAGAGTGAGTTCCAGGAGAGCCGGGGTCATGTAGAGACCCTATCTCAAAACAAAAACAAAACAAAACAACAGCCTGGGTCCTCTGGAAGAGTATGTGCACTTAACTGGTGAGCCTTTCCAGAACAGAAATAAAGCTAGTAAGAGGGGCAAAGGGGACTAGAAGGGGGCTACAGATCTGCAAGTTCACACAATCAGGAAGACAGTACTCACCACTAAGCTATAACCCTTCCAAACAAGGCGGTGGATTGAGAAGTGAATCTCAACATATTACCTCAAAACAATGGAGGCTTGAGAAGGTATCCATTCTCAGGTGCTCCAACAGATGGAGAAAATGTGACTTAACTCAGCACTAAACTAGCTTGATAATTTGCTTTATAAGGAATAATGATCTCAGTTAATCCCATTAGCCAAGCTTCAGACAAACCAGGTTCAAAGTAAGGCAAATGCCAAGTTCTAGTCAATGAGCTGTCTCTGTACCTCACTCCCCTTTTCTGTATTGTTATCTAGCCAAGTGGCAGGCAGCCCTAGAGTATCACTGAACCTGCCCTGTTCTAGGGGCCACCTGATTCATGATCCACTCTGGGCTCATAAAATACCATTAAATGTAATTTGTTTGAGGCCTGTTTTTTCTTTCTTTCCTTATTATTAGCTTATGTGTGAGAAAGAGCTCCGGTGTGCACCACAGTAGTGTGTGGAAGTCAGAAAACAACTTCCTTTTTGAATGGTGGTATTTGGCATTAGCTAACATGGAAAAGTAATCAGGACCTTTCACCAGAAATGGAGGGAATTAATATTACTGATAGAACTGAACTGGGAAGTGAAAGACCTAGATAGGAGGCTTAACTGCTCTGGACCACTGTATCCTCAACTATCCAACAAACAACCAACAAACAAAAAAACCTGGGAAGGGGATGCTGGAGAGAAGGAAGGGGATGCTGGAGGGAAGGAAGTGGGTGCTGGAGAGAAGGAAGGGGATGCTGGAGGGAAGGAAGGGGATGCTGGAGGGAAGGAAGGGGATGCTGGAGAGAAGGAAGGGGATGCTGGAGAGAAGAAAGGGGATGCTGGAGGGAAGGAAGGGGGTGCTGGAGAGAAGGAAGGGGATGCTGGAGGGAAGGAAGTGGGTGCTGGAGGGAAGGAAGGGGGTGCTGGAGGGAAGGAAGGGGATGCTGGAGAGAAGGAAGGGGATGCTGGAGAGAAGGAAGGGGATGCTGGAGAGAAGGAAGGGGTGCTGGAGAGAAGGAAGGGGATGCTGGAGGGAAGGAAGGGGGTGCTGGAGGGAAGGAAGTGGGTGCTGGAGGGAAGGAAGGGGGTGCTGGAGAGAAGGGGGTGCTGGAGGGAAGGAAGGGGATGCTGGAGAGAAGGAAGGGGATGCTGGAGAGAAGGAAGGGGATGCTGGAGAGAAGGAAGGGGGTGCTGGAGAGAAGGAAGGGGGTGCTAGAGGGAAGGAAGGGGATGCTGGAGGGAAGGAAGGGGATGCTGGAGAGAAGGAAGGGGATGCTGGAGGGAAGGAAGGGGATGCTGGAGAGAAGGAAGGGGATGCTGGAGGGAAGGAAGTGGGTGCTGGAGGGAAGGAAGGGGGTGCTGGAGGGAAGGAAGGGGGTGCTGGAGAGAAGGAAGGGGATGCTGGAGGGAAGGAAGGGGGTGCTGGAGGGAAGGAAGGGGGTGCTGGAGGGAAGGAAGGGGGTGCTGGAGAGAAGGAAGGGGATGCTGGAGGGAAGGAAGGGGGTGCTGGAGAGAAGGAAGGGGATGCTGGAGAGAAGGAAGGGGGTGCTAGAGGGAAGGAAGGGGGTGCTGGAGAGAAGGAAGGGGGTGCTGGAGGGAAGGAAGGGGATGCTGGAGGGAAGGAAGGGGGTGCTGGAGGGAAGGAAGGGGGTGCTGGAGAGAAGGAAGGGGGTGCTGGAGGGAAGGAAGGGGGTGCTGGAGGGAAGGAAGGGGATGCTGGAGAGAAGGAAGGGGGTGCTGGAGAGAAGGAAGGGGGTGCTGGAGGGAAGGAAGGGGATGCTGGAGAGACAGTTCACAGCTTCAGAGTTTGCACTGCTCTTGCAGAGGACTCTCTCAGTCCTCAACATTCATACTGGATGATTCAAAACTGGCTGAAACTCCAGCTCTAGGGAATCTTCCCAAGACCCTGGGGGCACCTGCACTCAGGTGCACATACCCACATACATATACACATAATTATTTTTAAATAAATAAAAATACTTTTGTTGCTGTTTGGGACTTTTCTTGTTGGTTGGTTGGTTGGTTGGTTGGTTGGTTTATTTTTCTAGGGCTAGGAGGCAAGTCTGATTAGTGTATCCGTTGCTTGTCTTGGGAACATGAAGACCTGACTTCCAGCCAGGCTGGGTGGCTGGTACTTGACTCCCTAGTGCTGTGGGTGGAGACAGGCAGGCAGGTCCCTGGGCTCACTGCAGCCAGCCTAGCTTTACTTGATGAGTTCAGGTCAGTAAAACATCCTGTCTCCATAAGCTATATGGATGACACCTGATGAACAACGTCCACAGTTGACCTCTGGCCTCCACATTCAAGTGCACACACGTGTGTCCTCTCACCCACCCACACGAATGCATGTACTCATAATAGTTACTATCATGAAAAATCTCTCTTTAAAAAAATGAAGATATTTATAACTTGATTGACAATAATATCAGTAGAAATATAGTGGATCAACATTCTCTTTAACATTTAAAGAAGATACTTTTTTGAGACTACTCAGTGGTAAAAAGAATAATTACCAATAAAATTGTACCAGTTAGGATACCTTCAGTGGAAAGTACAGCCTTCAAGTCAAACTAGTTTAATGTAATCGGTTAACTGATACAGTAAGCCCAGTGGTGGTGGCTGAGGTTCAGGGAAGGCTCAGTCTAGGGGTTCCTTCTGGCTCATTTTCTCTGTACCTCCCTCGGCTCT